CTCTGACAAATGGAAAGCACACTTATATTCCACAATTCAGTTCGATTATTCGAAGTATATACCTACCCTGCTTGACATGGAATTTCTGTCTGTTTAGGGAATCGATTTTCATCTATTTTTCTGCTATTGTCTTACGGTGTGCACAAACAGCGTATTTTGATCTCTTTTTACAATCATGGAACTTCGTGGCTTAGAGCTCGAAAGCGAAATAGATAATCTTTTTATTTTTTTCATCCGTAAATTGCATATCCTAATCAAAGTAAATTCATAAATCATTCAATTGTCCGTGAAAGTCGTTAAGCCATTTAAGAACTTAATTAAAGTGTACATGATTCGWAAGTTTTAATTCCTAAAATAGAATYACAARGAAGAGAATACTATAGKTTGSCTCAGTATCWCTGGATTCCGTTTTCACATTTCACAGAAAAGAAAGTACTTTACGCTAATCTTGTGACGTAGATTTGACWGTACATTTTTCTTAGAAAATTACATTAGACTTAAGTTTAACTTTTTTCCCCTCAAACTGAAGAAAACTGTGTTTAAACACTCTTTTTTAGTGTGCTTTCCATTTKTCAGAACTGGCYGGCCAGACCCAGAGAAAATGTCATTATATATCATTCYCATTTGGTAAGGAAATTCAAATTTTCAAATTCTATCCATTATTATACAGAAAACCTCGAAATGACTGAAAAATGTTGASAAARAGCATTATATACCTCAAAATAGAGTGGACTGGCCGGCCAGTTATGCCTAAATGGAAAGCACCCTTAGGTTTTATCATAAAGTTGTTCAAAATAGACAGAATGGGTTACAAAGGACAGGTAAAGAGCCAAAGCAAAGCATTAATGAGGAAGCTGCTATGGCAGGTCATTCCTAGTAAAGCTCTACAAATCCCCTGTCTCACTAGATATACATAAGATGAACATTACTCTTCAATTAGGAAGTTCGCTGTTAGAGAGGTAAATCCAGGTTATAAACTGTGTGAAACTTACGCACCCCATCAACGTTCATAGTCGGGGGTTAGAGTTTTAAAATGAACAAGTTGCACTTTCTACGAATATATCACGAAATTTGGTCTCATGTTTTCGAGTTAAGAAAAGAATTAAGTTCTTCTTTGGATAACTTTAAAGTTCTAAAACAACTGTAAACAATTGTATAATTAAGTTTGAAAAGGAATCAGACTAAGAGGCCGAGTATCTCGCATTGATATTGTTCACTGTAAGATGCTGRAGTAGTCGAAGTCAGTTACGCCTTCGACCAGGCCGTGACTACATGTAGGATACTACCTTTAAAAAAACATTCTAACAACAAATCAATAACACATAACGCAAATTATGAATATCAAAGAWTAAAACAGATGATTTTAGATAAAAAATTGTAGCTTTGTGTGATCAAACAAAGAAAAAATAGCATTCAGCCATTTCCGCTTTGAAGAAGACAAGAAAAAAAACTACCTTAGCTGAAAGACAGCCGCTTTTTGCACTCTTTTTAGTAAGTTAAACGCTTATACAACATTATTTAGACTATCATCACTTGGGAATCACTTTTATGCCTGAAGAAAGACTATTTGAATCAATGAAATACGCAAGGAAAGAATACCACTAAGTTGCAACTTGTACACCAAGTCAAAAACAAGTCTTCAAAAATGGTGTTTAAACAAGCTTAGGTGCCTTTTAAGAGCGTTTCACAATCCATACTATAGCTCTGATTAAAATTCGTTAAATCAAAACTGAAATAACTACCTCATTTTCTTATTTTTAGAATGTCATCAGTTGAGTTTAATTTTTTTTGTTTACTTGTTTGCGTGTAACGCGCTGAAAGCTTTTCTCAGTACCGTCACGTTTTGCGAGAGCAGGGAACGAAAATAAAGATTTTTCTACAACAATTGGTCAGTTCCAAATATATTGAAGATATTGAAGATAAAAATAGTGAATCTGAGTATTTTATAAGCTCAGAAATTCCCAATCACTACAGTATTTTAAGAGTAATAACTTCTCTTTCCATTGTTATGGACTGCAGCCTAAGGGTAGCTATACTAAATCCCTACCACTATTCAGAAAGACTCTTTAAAGACTATTTTCACKAACTATATAAATCACCTAGCTAAAATACAGCTTACCTAATAAGCCACAAGTAAGGAGAAAAGAGAGAGAGGGACATAATTATAACATTGTCCCACAATACATGAATACTAAAACTAGCTTTCAAATAGATTTAGTGGACTGGAATTGAGTCAAAACAGCTCCATAATTTTAACGTTTGAAGTTCAAGAGAAGAGTTGATACTTCACACATTTATATAGCTCTACAATCGAAATTGGACTAGATAGCACTTTGAATTTGTGAACCTATAGAAGTTATTTTTATATAAAAAGCACTAAATAGAACTYACACAAATGACACTAAAATCAGTCAATATAAAGTTCTAGAGAAACGTTTTATTTATAAAGAAAGCAAACTGTTTTTTTTTGCTTTGCTTATAACACAATAGCTTATGGAAAGGAGGGATTATTTGGAAAATGCTTGCTTGACAAAGTTCACATAATGTCACACAATGGCCAAAGTCCACACTTATARCATTACYTTATCATCAAACCCACCTTACGTTAAAATTTCTCAGCGCTATTTCAATAAAATGAACAAAAATGAAGCCTTACAAAGACATGTTTGAGACCCAAACAAATAAAGTTGGAAGACTTTTAGCTTATGCATTTAAAACAATAAACCTCATATGGTAGTGGAGGGGCAACTGTTGCAAAGCCTTCACTCAAAGTTCACAAAAAGCCATGCTATCCAAAGTCCATACGACATCCATGATCAAATCCAATTTGAAACAAATTKCTCAGCAAGCTACTAAAAATTTGTTGTAATAAATCTTCACCTAGAAAGTTCGCTAGACTAAACAGGCTAACTTAAAACCRCTCATGGGCAGCTCACCATAGTYGATGAAGAGAGATTGAGATCTGAAGATGTACTTGCTGTGTGCTACACATAAACAATTACTGCAGCAACCAAGAGTAGAATGAAAATAGAAAGAAAACACGACAGAGGCATACTATTTTCCACGATAAAAAGTCGATCAATGTTTTTTTATAGAGATATAAAGTGGTTGTTCTCAGAGAATGGGTTTTCTGAGTATAGCCACTCCACCTAAGACAAAGCCAAGCGTTGTCGCTTCATTTAGAGATAAAACAATTTTTTTTTGAAAAAGACCTCGTCAAGAACAGAAAAGAGCCCTTGAATTACGAAGTAGGAGAATATACGCAGTCAGAACGGGGAATTTAATTGACTCGCAGCCGTAAGGGACGCTATAGTCCGAGCTACTCTGAAACAGCTGACCCACAATACGCCCATAACAAGCAGTATTTCAAAATATTTTACCGTACAAAAATATATAATTACTATAAATATTGTTCTTTGAAGTTTATATGCAGTTTATATGTATGTATATAAAACAGTATGAATGATTATTTTACGTGAAATAGTCTACAACGTCGATACTTTTACAGACAATATTCAGATCATACTTCAGTTGTGGTTGTTTGGTGGTTACGGTGTAAGACCCATGCATGGCTTCCACAAGGATATATAAATATACTAGTAGTACTCGTTAAGTAGGTTTTATTCGCTCGTAGTAAGATATCGTATACTAGAAAACTTATTTCAAAGGTATTAGTCGCTAAATAAACTCCATTCATACTTACAGGGTCTAGTTCTGTTGTTATTCTTCAAAGTGTTCAAGGTTTTTCCAACGTTCGATTAACGAATCTTCTACATTTTAACCTTGTTTGTATATCACCATCCACGTGGCTTGCATCCCTCGTAAAAACGCGTACTCGGTTTATTTCTTGACAACTTTGATATTCTGTGATAAAACAGTCACTCAGTCATGAACTGTATAACGGCTAYAACATCACGCCAAGATGAGCATGTTCACAACTCGATTGACCATTAAAAAAGCTCCACTTGTTTTACAAACACCATTCGTATTAACAACAATTTACAACGATTCAAAAAAGTCAGCAAATTCCGATTCGGGTTGCATCATTCGTAAATAATGTTACGTTTTCGATACGTCTCTAGTGAAMAGCGTGATGATGCGACATAATGTTCGTTATTGTCACATCAATTTGTACGTAAAAAGTTACGACTTGATACTTACGTAAAGCGAGTCGAATTCGCCGCAAGTGGGACGCTGTACGAGATCAGAAGCAAAGTCAGTGTACCTCCTGGCAATGTCTGTGTCCCTGGGTACAACTTGAACATACCAAATTAAGTTATTATATGCARTACTTTCAGAATTCTCGGAATAGAGTTTCTCGGTAMTGCTACGTAATCACAAATCCACTATTTCCGCCTTGTATCCATTTAGAAGTARTTCTTGGCAAGAATAACAATCTAGTTGAYTTGTTTTTGAAATGTTTGCAGCGAACAGCCATTAYTATATCAGTAAAACTGAAAACTTGTAGTGTTTTTCCAAGACAACTGTGTCATTATTGATCAAATTATGTAAACGTCTARAGACCTCTATGACCTGGTGTGCTAAATTCTGAACGGTCTCATCTGCTTCAATCACGATTTAAAATCTCCTTTAAAATCCTGAAATACAATAAATTATAATTATAAATCTACACTTATATATATAACGATATTCAGTTTATTAGTAAACAGGTTTTTCATAGAGAAAATTGTTCTTTACGAGAGTAAACAGTRCTCAACAAACACGGAAGTAAATAGCTTGTGTAACACAATGCAATGCCGGTGTAGCGTGGCCAAGGACCACGTGGGACACAGGAAGTTCTTGAGTTGCCATAAATAGCGCAAGGTCAAGAGAGGCAAGCAAAATRCCCTATCAGTTCAATCGACATTCAAAAGATCAGAAAGCTGATCAAAGTACGAGAGTACGAGAAAGTATAAGCCAATGATGCGGATACACGCCTTCCGGGTACTACTCAGGAAGCCCAACATCAAAAAAAAAAGAAAAAAAAAAAAAAAAAAAGCAAAGAAAAAAAAAGAGAGAGAGAAATGAAAAAATTGAAGAAACATTCTTCCACTACTAAATGAGCCATTTTGTAATTGCATTCTCCCAGAACTGAACTTCTAAAATTTCTGCTAGGGAGGATTAATCACTAAATTATATTTTAAATTATTTTTCAAACATGCATTGTCAACATTTTATATCAGTCTTACCTATTAATTATTTCTTTGATAACTCCTTCAAAAAAAATATAAAAAAAATAAAAATTATAAGTAAGTGAAAATAAATGTAACACTTCAAGTTGGAGTCTTAAAAGAATTCAATCCTTACTGTTTTGATTTCTTCTGGAAATTCAGCAAGATTCTTCTTTGCACAAGAAATGCAAAATCTCTTTGTATAAAACAGGCTACATCCCTACAAGATAAAATCATATACTACTGAYACATACACTTTCTCAATTGCACAGAATTTTTGAAACATTTTTGCATGTTCATATAATATGTATCTAATGATGGAAACTAGTGGTTTTTTTTGTTCCATTTTAATCCCTAGTGTTTCAATAACTGTATGATAATATAGTGTTTTAATGATGTTGTAAATAGTTATATTTTATATTTTATATATTCATAATAGTTTTAGTATACGTTTAGGAGGGCCACAAGTTTATTAGTATTGTATACTAATATTACATGTTTACCCTCGTTAAATAAAGTCCTTACTTACTTCCTTACTTACTAGTGGTAAACTAATATGAGCTGTGTTAGTGTTCCTAAAGAAACAGTTGTGAAATAATATAGATTTTAACACCGTAAAAAGTAGGTGAAATAACTTACTTATGTCTCAGATGTTTTAAAGTCCTTTGATTAATTTTTTTTTGTCCCTAAAGTACTTTTTACAGTGTTTATTATTTCATGATTAATAGGTATATCTACAATCCTTGGACCATTCCATCGAATTTCCTCATTTTAAGCAACACCTGCAGACAATTTCATTCCCCCTGACCCCCTAAATGCAATGTTGTCATGGATCATGTTACCATAGTACACAAGCATCCAWAWCAAGACCCAACATTGATGAAAGGGGGCTAAGGGGTAAAACTGTGATAAAATACATGTAAAGGAGAAAAACGTTAGGCTTGAGACAAATATTTCTATGGTCCAAGATTCTTTTTRGCAACGATTGTAGATATCTTTGAAAATTCATTTATAAATAGCAAGGGTATCTAATTTCATTATCGGTTTCAACTAAGTTATTAACGACTTTCAGAAATGATGCCATATGCCACGGTCACTGACCATAGCAATGGAGACGAAGCACTAAAAGGAGGTTTCAAAGGCCAGCCTCTGTATAGTAAACTTCCATGGTGTCTTGTAAGAGTGTTTTGCTATATATAATATACCAATAAATCTTTCAAACTTCTTGATAGACATACATGTGATCTTCGTAGTGATTTTTAGATGGAAGGCCTTTGAGGTCTTGTTTCCATGATCTGTCACTAGTCCCCTATATTGGCGGTTGTGAACTACCACCATTTTTGAAAGTCGTGTATATAGCTGAGCTGCGCATATTACCTGCCCAACGCATACATCAATCGAACACAAGGAACATTTACTTCCCAGAGTTAAATGACTTTGTGATGGAGAAAATGGATCTTGCACAACAAAAGCATCTTCAAGTAACCTACATGTAGGAGGGGTAGAGAGTATTGTTTAGCACCTTCAAATATATTTGCGGGGTGGTGACAGTATGGTTTAGCTCAAGTAACCTATAAAATCGGTCATGCCTTTTCGTTTTTTTATCAATAACGTGATTTTCGCCTTGCTATTAAATACTCCAGTACTCACAAAAAGCTAAGAATTTGCCTGAGTTTGAAAGGAGACGATGAACGCACAAAATAAGGAAGAAATTTTAAGTTTCGCGCTCAAAGTTGCCGAATCTAACAAGGCAAATTCTGGACAAAATACTTCGCTATACTCACACAACTGCTTTGCTGAATGGAGGATTCCTTCCATAATAATCATATCGACAWGTAAAATGACACATCGAGCAACAAAATTCTTGCTTTGAAGTTTTGTCGGCCATGTTGTYATACTAATTGCGCCTGCAGTCTCTATTTTTCAGCGGTAAATGTYTCGTACCCAGTGCCCACTCGTTGGACAGCAAAAATAGATTTCGGGATAAAAAATAAGAATAATGACAATAAAAATCAAATAAAATAACAAATATGAAGTTAAAAAATGAACACGAACTAGAAATACAAAAATAAAATTATTTGCCATACAATCAATCCCCAGAATTCGATCCCGCAATAACTTCATAGCCATCGGATTTGACGCGCAAACATGACGCGCTACTGGACCAAACTCATTGGCACTTCCATCTAATAAACTATCCCAATTTGACATTATACTTTCAAATAGTTGCCTAAAGTAGAGAAGGGCTTCCTTCTGAGCTTAGAGTAGAGTCGCACGCGTTTTAGCTTTGCAGCGTCTTCAAGCAATTCCTAGGAGGAGCCGATGGTTTCCTTGGAGAAATATAGCTGTTCTTCTGTCCCAACCAGCTGTAAGTCACAACTGGTTGCCAGCGAGAAATTCAGGAAAAAAAACTCTCCAGGCAAGGAATTCTTTCTAAGAATTTTTGCCAGGATAATAAAAAATTTCCTAACTAAAAAAGGTATAAGCCGTTTTGGCCATAAAAACGTTATATAAGCCGTTTTTGACCCTAAAAACGTTTACCAGCTGGAACAAAATTATTTTAAANGCCGAATCTAACAAGGCAAATTCTGGATAAAATACTTCACTATACTCACACAACTGCCTTGCTGAATGGAGGATTCCTTCCATAATAATCATATCGACAAGTAAAATGACACATCGAGCAACAAAATTCTTGCTTTGAAGTTTTGTCGGCCATGTTGTTATACTAATTGCGCCTGCAGTCTCTATTTTTCAGCGGTAAATGTCTCGTACCCAGTGCCCACTCGTTGGACAGCAAAAATAGATTTCGGGATAAAAAATAAGAATAATGACAATAAAAATCAAATAAAATAACAAATATGAAGTTAAAAAATGAACACGAACTAGAAATACAAAAATAAAATTATTTGCCATACAATCAATCCCCAGAATTCGATCCCGCAATAACTTCATAGCCATCGGATTTGACGCGCAAACATGACGCGCTACTGGACCAAACTCATTGGCACTTCCATCTAATAAACTATCCCAATTTGACATTATACTTTCAAATAGTTGCCTAAAGTAGAGAAGGGCTTCCTTCTGAGCTTAGAGTAGAGTCGCACGCGTTTTAGCTTTGCAGCGTCTTCAAGCAATTCCTAGGAGGAGCCGATGGTTTCCTTGGAGAAATATAGCTGTTCTTCTGTCCCAACCAGCTGTAAGTCACAACTGGTTGCCAGCGAGAAATTCAGGAAAAAAAACTCTCCAGGCAAGGAATTCTTTCTAAGAATTTTTGCCAGGATAATAAAAAATTTCCTAACTAAAAAAGGTATAAGCCGTTTTGGCCATAAAAACGTTATATAAGCCGTTTTTGACCCTAAAAACGTTTACCAGCTGGAACAAAATTATTTTAAAGAAAGAAGGGCGCCACATTTGCTTATGAGACTGTCAACAATGAAGATCAAAACCCCTTTCGCAGGAAAAAAATAGTACAAGAACAGTTATTTAGAAGAACAGACCCGGTCGGCTCCTCCTGAATTCCCTCCCCGATATAACATTGACAAACAAGTCCTCATTGTGATTTTAAGATATTTTATTATTTCGCGTCTGTATTCATGTAAAATCAAAGTAAACTAAGCCGGTATACGTTTGTAGCGTTAGTCTTCAATATGAGTAGCAGTACAAGTCCATTAACGAGAGTATGAACTGTAATAAGGGATATGAGATTGAATAAGTACGAGGGTGGGGAATGAACCAGTAACCAGACGAGACCAGCATTCAGAGGGAGTAGAGAAGTCTGTGAATTGAGATCAAAAAATTAGTGAAACTCGTGAATTAAGACGAGTTGTTGGGAGGGCTGTATACACTGATCTCAGGCAATAAATTTAAAAAAAATCATACTTACTGACGCGAATTTATAGAAGGTACTCAACCCCAAGGCCATGAAGGTCTGCGACATACTATTAAAAAGAAAAAAAATATTCCTTTACATTATGAAATGACTGAATGAAATGAAACAAGAATGAATGCAATCTGTTCTTAAGTG